CAGATATCCTTGGATACAAGCCTAGCCTACAATATTTTAAGATATAAATATCTAATAGGTAAATATGTATTTTACGTATCGAAATATATTAGATTTGCTTTGCTTAGGCTGGCACCGACTTCGAAAATATCTGATTAGGTATCTATTCTAAATGAAAACCCATGTTTAGTTATTTTTTACATTTTAGTGCCTGGAAGTCGGTTTTTTTAAGTTTTTTTTAAAGTCCCAATACGCGAGGATGTACCTATAAGCGGCGGCAATAAGTTTAAAACACGAACAACATAATCTGATGATGATTGAATCTATGATATGAACTATAACTTAAATAAAAATGTGAACAATGTATAAACAATAATTTATTTACTTAGAGTTGGTAAATATTTTATTTTTTGTTGGAAAAATTTTAACCACGTGTAGCTACAGTAGAGTTTGAGAAGGCCGTTATGAATTTGAGGTCTTGAAATCTTTATCCAATTTATCTAAAAGTGGATACTTGTCTGTGTAGATATTTTCAAACGTATCTTATCTTTACTGGTTTCAGTCAATAATAGTTTTATTTTATGTAAATATACAGTAGCCATTTCTAACTTTGCTCCTTCATTATTAAGTAGTAGCTACTTCTTATTTTTCATTGGAGCATTGGCATAGAGTCCAGATTAATTAGCCTAGAATCAACTCCAAATAAGGAGGTACTTAGTTCGTCTGTATGTTCTAGATATATGAAGTAGCCCCAGAACATAGAATCAGTACAATGTTTAAATTAGTTAAGAGAATATTATTATAAAACAAACATTTCCTGTGAGAATCATCACCGATTCACCCACGTTTACTATAGCTTTCTCAGAAATGTGATATTTCCCCGCAGTAGACCACCATCCACCTTCTGGCCTTACCATCAGATCAGGTCAACATACCGAACCACTGTACTATCAACGGAAATTGAAAGACTTGCAAAGTTTCAAGTCAATATGACAATAAGAAGTAGGTTAAATTCATCATTAGCTATTTTTCCACCCTTAGGGGTGGTATTTTTTTTTAAATTTAAATGGGACCGCTTTAAATCTAAATCGGTTAATAAATGACGGAGTTCTAAGGTAACAAACATTAAAAAAAACACACAGCCGAATTGAGAACCTCCTCCTTTTTGAAGTCGGTTGAAAACGCACACGTATTCCTCATATGACGTAGGCATCCACTAAAGAAGGATTTTTTTAAATTCAACCCCCAAGGGTGTGAAATAAAGTGTGTATTGCAAAAAGTGTCTTACTCGTAATTAGAGCGGGCGAAGCCGCGTGTACCGCTAGTTAGTAAATAAATGATTAAATTTAATTCAGTACTTTGAGCGTTTATCGCTCAAAACTAAACAAACAAACAAAACAGAAGTATAGACATACTATAAATGTTATTGTTAAAACACATAAAAACTTTTTAACAAAAAAATAAAAACCGACTTCAAACAAAAGCACTAAAAAGTAAAAAATAACTGATTGGTAGTTTTCATTTACCATACATACCTAATCAAATATTTTCGAAGTCGGTGTGCTTTGCTTTGTATGGGCTGGCACCGATTTCGAAAATATTTGATTAGGTATGTATTTAATAGGTAGGCTTTAATTACTTAGCCAAAGCACACCGACTTCGAAAATATTTGATTAGGTATGTATGGTAAATGAAAACTACCAATCAGTTATTTTTTACTTTTTAGTGCTTTTGTTTGAAGTCGGTTTTTATTTTTTTGTTAAAAAGTTTTTATTTTTCCCTTTTTAGTGTAGACAGTAGTAAAAAAGTAAGGATTCTAACGTGTTAGGCTTGTCAAATCAAACAAAATAAGCCCAAACTCAAAGTATCTACTATTAGCCGTTGAAGAGTTCCACCTATCCACCTTCTGGCCTTGCCATCAGATCAGGTCAACAATACCGAACCACTGTACTATCAACGGAAATAGAAATACTTGCAAAGTTTCAAGTCAATATGACAATTAGAAGTAGGTTAAATTCATCATTAGTAGTTTTTCCACCCTTAGGGGTGGTATTTTTTTTTGAAATTTAAATGGGACCAATCTGGAAGTATACCCTTTCAAACGACACAAAAATTGTCCAAATCGGTTAATAAATGACGGAGTTCTGAGGTAACAAACATAAAAAAAAAAAAAAAAAAAACATACAGTCGAATTGAGAACCTCCTCCTTTTTGAAGTCGGTTGAATATTCAATAAGACTGAATTAACGGAGGAACCTTTGTAGCATTGCCAATCACCGCTATTATTTACCAATCATGCGGTGCGCAATGAAATTAGTATGTCTTGGTATCATCTGAACGCGAGCGGTGCCGCGGGCAACGCTAGTATAATATAAAATGCAAAATTATAGTACGTTGCCGCACTGTCTAAGATAATATCATGTTTTAGTTGAATGTAACCAAACATATTTTATAACGTAAATATAATAATTAATAGCATTATATATTATGACAATACCTTTGGCTCAGTTTGTAGTGACCAGTTTGTACTTGCTGTGCTAGCGGTCGTGGGTTCGAGTCCCGTTGAGGGCATCCATTTGTATTATGAGCACGAATGTTTGTATTTTAGTCACGGGTGTTTATATCAATAATATGTATGTATTTAAAGTTATATATGTGTGGTGTATCAACTATCTGGTATCCATAACACAGGCTTACCATGGAACTAGATGTTGCTGTGTGTTAATATTCCAACATATTTATTTGTTTTTCCTTATTTTAAACACTCACGTTCAATTCGCTATATTTCCAAAAACTTAAGGTGTATTTAAATTTTATATAATATTTTCCTTAAAATCATGTTTTTAATTTGAAATGATCAAACTATTTTATCACCTTCCGCGATGATGCATCGAAATATCGAATAAGTCAAAATAATCGAGATTCGAGATAGACAGTACAATTGTAAATTACTTCGATGATAACAAAATAATTCGAAATTTTAACACGTTTTCATTATCTTAACTAACTTTGTAATCAAATTTTGAGTCGATTTTAACCTAGATAGATAAGAAACTTGTTATCACAAAAGGAAACTTGAAATAGGGGGTTGAATGTTTGTATTGGGGCAAATCCTTTCTCAAGTTGAGGACAACAAATTCATTACATCCTGTATTTTGGTAAGAAATAAATATCGGTGTTTGGGACCGATCAGGGTAAAATACGGGATCATTCTATCCTATATAGTATGTATATATATGTAGTCTATCTATTCCAAAGTAACTGTTAAATCGTACCTAGGGACCCGAGCAAAGCGAGGGCGAGTCGCTAGTGCAAAATAAGTTATTTTTAGGCGCAGGAGTTTCTATAAGCAAAAAAATAACCTAAACCTATCGAGCTGAAAACTTTTTCTTTTAAATCCAGACGATTTTTAAGTTCAAGAGTTTTTTAAGGTAAAAAAATATTTTTAGGTGGCAGGAGTTTCTGTATGAAAAAAAAAGAAAAATAATCTTGACCTACCGAGCTGAGCCGGACTACTTATTCTACTTATTTATTAGTCTATTCTTGCTTCCTTATAATTTATATATTTTATAAAGATAAATTTTGAAATATTTTGAATTTTGAAGGAAGAATAATAATTTTCTTTTGGCGAAATTAGGAGATTTTAACAGTAGCCATTGGAGACTTATTCACTTCAGTCTACTGTCACCATATGGCAGTTAAAAAATTGGCTAATTTATTTCGAAGATTACGCACTTAAATTTATATGAATATTTGGCTTATTAAATAAAACTATCTTATAATATTTATTATTCCTTACGGTGAAGGAAAACATTATGTGAAATCTGCATGTCTGAGAGAACCTAGCAAGTTTTCAAAAGACATGTGAAGTCTGCCAACCCGCACTTGGCCAGCGTGGTGGACTATGGCCTGATCCCCTTGTACTGAAGAGGCCCGTGCCCAGCAACGTTAAAAAGGGCTAAATACATAGTATTATTTTGTGGATTTATTTTTTCGCCCTAATTAGGTCGAAGAGACACTCCGAAGGTTTTATTTCAAAAACTCTATTTTATTTCAGGTGTTTGAAAATATAAGGATATTGGCAGATGAAATTATCAAAATAGTTAAGTTAGTTGCTTGTTCTTGGAATAATGGAGAAACTGTACATCGGGGATTGCTCTAAAGGTTCGAAATTTATAAAATTATCTAAAATATTTAATGACTTAAAACATATTTTTTGTAATTTTTATCAATTTTTTTGTATGCTTAAAAAGGTTGGTTTGCTCCTTGTTTTAGTACTAAATGCCGTGATCCCTAGATATAAACGCAAAGAATTATTTTATTAATTTTTAGTTCTTGCAAGCATTCATCCTTTTTATTTCACTATTGGGCTAAATGTATTTTAACACATTCTGAAACAGACCGCTTCTCGACGTTAACTTGGTATCGTGTTATGTGACATAACGGTTATGGGCGGTTACTTTTATTTTATCATATCTGACAAATAGTCGATGGCCGTTGGTTATCCCTATCATTATTAGGAAACACGTGACCTAGTGTCATATCGGTTCGGTTATCGGTTTTTCGGCGATAGCTGTCACGGTAAACTCTATTCGAGTACTTTTTCTACACACACATACGCAGTGCTTACACACCCAACAGGTACACCGTCGAGGGGGGTAAACTCTGTCATACAAGTACAGTGATTTCAGAATTCAGTGTCACTGTGTCACAGCCAGCCTCCGTTAGGAGAATATATGTTCTGTGGTCACAGCGCGTATTAGTGTTTATCGTTGTTATGCTGGAGGTGTTTAGTGATTTTTGTCAACAAATATAAGGTAAATAAAGCTTATTCATACTATAATATTATATAAATCTGATGGAAAATGTGTTGTGTTATCCTATAGTGTTGTTTATTTAGGTAGGGATAGAAATATTTTATGAAAGTGACAGTAAAAGACATTATTCGAATGATATTTACCTGCTATTTTAGCTACCTACTAACTGTTTGTATTATGAGTATTTACGTATTATATTTTGCAGATGTCGTCTAACCGGGAGGAACTTGCATTAAGTCAACGTCGAGATCTTTCTGATGATGAAAATGATACGGACGAAATCTGCCACGACCCGCCCAGAAAAGTAAATGGTGAGTGCGGCTCAGATAAAAATTATGAACCAGATGATGCTAATGAAAAAATATTTCTTGAGCCAACTAGAATCACTGCTACCAGTGCTACATGTATGGATAATATATATACAAATTGTAAACCATCTTCTAAATCTATATAAACATATTGAGCTCAGACCATTGCGCTCAAACAGCTTCATTTTCTTATACATACTTTAAAAGCCAATAAAAAATGTTAAAAAAGGCTTTTGTTCCTATAAGTACTTACTACACGTATGGAGAAGTTCAGAGGTAATATTGTGCCAAAATTTCCTTATTTATTCTACAGCAATGACACTAATTATTATTTACTTCTAAAACAGTCAATTCAGGGGGTCTCTTGTCATTTAGTGAATGAGTAACTCCTGGCATCTACAAGAGCAGGCAAAGACTATATGAACTGTATGGTGAAAAAGCTTATAATCATAGTACATCGTTTGCTTCTTTTGGAAATCCCTACTCAAAACCTGACCTTCTGAATCCATATTTAAATAATAGAATAAAGAGGGTTGATATAAATGGTAAGAGATCTCCTGGGGCTCCATTAGATATGGGGATTCCACAAGGGTCTATTCTTGGCCCCTTTCTCTTTCTAATTTATATTAATGATTTGCCATTTTTGTACAGGACAAATATAAGACAAGTATCACGGTAATATTACATACAGTATTCCATCTTCATACAAATTGTCGGAAATCGAGTTATACCTACACGCGTCGCGTTCGGAATACACTTGGTAGACAACCGTGCGGGGCTGCCACATCGTATAATTGAATACGAAAATTGTATAAGATGTTTATGTTATGTAACTCTTATAATTTGATACAAAATAAACACTTTATTCCTCCCGTAACTTCGCTAATATCAAACAAAAAAGTATCGAGACATCGTATGTTTTAAAAATGAAAATAATTATTTAAATAAAAAATAAAAATTAAAGTATTTTTAATTAAACTTTTTATCCGAATGCGGATTCTTTATACTATTAAATTTTACAATAAAGCTTTTCGTACTCGTCTCAGTCGAGGCGCAAATATTTTCAAATCTCAAATTTATAGCAGCCCTGTCGCGTGGGTACGTGCCGCTCGGCTGTAGGTAATTATTTCAAGGACAGGCCCGAGTTGGAGTACTGTATGCATTACATTACCGTGATAGTATTGTTCGCTGATGATACTTCTCTTTTTTTTAAAGTAAAGCGCAATATGTTAATGTATAACGATGTAAACGATGCTCTCTCCGAGGTTGTCTATTGGTTTGATTCAAATAAATTATTATTAAATAATAAAAAAACAAAATTAATACAATTCTCAACACCTAATGTTAAATTTGTTTATAATGGTGTAATATTAAATGGGGAAGTGTTAAAACCGGTAGAGTCCACTAAATTCTTAGGTATTATCACAGAAAGTATTAATATCACAGATTCGAAATTGCAATGGGGCCCCCATATTGAGGGACTAGCGAGTAGAGCTCTGGAGCGTTCGCGGTAAAAAAATAAGACTTCTTACTGATGTAGATACAGCTCGCATAGTATTACGTCCTATGGTATCTTACTGTGGGGAAATTCAGCTGCTATTAATATGATATTTGTCCTGCAGAAGAGAGCTACTTGTGCAATTTATCGTCATTAAGAGAAAAGTTTAGAGAAATAAAAATATTGACTGTTGCTTCTCAGTACTTGTACGAGTATGTTATGTATGTTCGTAAAAATATAGACGAATTTCCCAAGAAGTGTGTCATGCATAAAATCAAAACTAGGAGCAAACATAAACTTGTAATGCCTGTGACTCGTGTACACAGAGTCAATCATTCTTTTTATGGACAATGTATACGCTTATACGACAGGATCCCAGAAAATGATCAAAAAGCTTCTATCGTCAAATTAAAAAAAAAATATTAAAGAACACATTTTTACAATAAATGATTTTATAGAAGATGGCACGCCTTGGGAATGAAGTGATTGCCTCCAGGCTACTTCAACTTTATAGAAATATTGTAATTTATAACTTAACTTAATAAACAAGATAACGAAAGTCTCGCTGAGTTTCTTTCGCTAGTTCTTCTCAGGTCGAGGTTTCTTGTTTTCGGACTGGTAGTAGACTCATGTCGTTCAGTAAAAAAATGAAATAATTTAATGCTGAATAAAATCAAGGAGGCGAGAGTAGTGAATCTGACTACGAAATTTTTACTGAGAATAGACGCATGCGTATTTATGGCTTCGATTAGAGTAAGTGAAAGCCCAAGCTGGTTTGATGATTCTAGTTTGAAAGATGACAACCCGGTATCAGGAGAGGAAATAGGTGAAAAGTCTTGCGATGACCAATCTGTGATAGAACACAGCGAAGAAAACGATATAATCGGCTCCTTAGAACCTTACCTACATTCCTGTGCCATAAATGAAAGGCCTTGCAATGATCAACCTATAATAGAACACATCGAAGAGGGCGATATTATAATGGACTCTCAGGAACCTCGCCTATATTCCCATGCCTCTAAATCATCTTATCTTATATCGTACTCTTTCACGTGTTAGATGTTGCCTCGTGGAACTCTTTCTTTTTATTCAAAAAATATATAAAGAAAAGTGACAAGAGATACAGAACCGGATATATAGAGTACAGAGACAGGTTAATAAGAACTCTTACGAAACTTGATGATATATAATGTTTCGAAAAATGACACTTAACTCTTAGTTCTAACATGCACAAATCGTTTCGACAGTTATCAAATATATTTTTTTACATTATTCTAAATAAGACTTAACAAGAATTTAAGGTACATATTGTTTAAGAATTTAGAAAAACATACAGTGATCAGTAAACTTATAAGTATTAAATTTGTAGATTTTATAGAAGTTGTATATTTTGTTATGTGATTGAGTGATTTTTAACTATGTTGTTGATACCTACTTAAGTTACTTTGAAAATTACTAAGGATCTCAATTGAGGAATGTTGAAGACTGATTACTGTAAAAGACAATAAAATTCAGTTCGATTTATCTGTGTTTATTATTTTTTTCTTTGTATCGAGTATCACATGCACCTAAGTAGACCCCAAAGGAATACCGTCAGGAACCGTGGCTGTCACATAACCATTTTATATATAACTATTTTATGGCAGACCTATATTACTCATCAATAGGGAATGTGTTAATTTAAATTTTAAATCTTTATATTATATACAGACGACACATTTGGCTCAGTTTGTAGTGACCGTACTTGCTGTGCCAGCGGTCGTGGGTTCGAGTCCCGCTGGGGGCATTCATTTGTATGGTGTGTGATGGCACGAATGTTTGTACTCCAGTCATGGGTGTTTATATTTATAATATGTATGTATTTATAGTTTATATATGTGTAGTGTATCAACTATCTGGTATCCATAACACAAGCCTCGTAGCTTACCATGGAATCAGATGGTGCTGTGTGTTAATGTCCTGAAAAGGTTGATCAGTTTTAATGTTTTTTTAGATTTTTTTTATTTTCTGACCAAAAAAGATCTATCGGCATATATTAGGCAGGACATCGCTTGTCTACCGGGTCCGCTGGTGTTTATATAAAAATGAATTAACTATTATTTAACTTGCAGAACCCGCGGCTTCGCTCGCGCTAAACCTACAAAGAGAAACTTTTTGGCTTTATGCTATTAGTAATAATATAATATATCTACTTCGATATAAATTTCCGCATGCAGCGAAAATTTTATTTTGCATTCAGCTTCATTTTTATCATCATGTTTTAAGACAAGAATGATAAAAATGCATCACTGAGAATTTGATATATGTATGTATGTACCTATCTATTTTTGAAAAGGAAAAAACAACTAAAGTTATAAACTAGTGAGGTATCCTTGCTATGTTCAGGCGCGTCTTGCGTCCTTAATTACCTTTCGTATAAAATGTTATGGTCCCACATATGGTTATATATTATATATAATGATCATCGATGTCGGGCCAAGTTTAGTTATTGAGTCTTTCTGTATATTAAGCCTCAATAACAGCCCGGAGTTGGGAAGTTGGCGGTGTTTCACCCCCGTGCCTCGGAGAGCACGTAAAGCCGTCGGTCCTGCGCCTTAACTCTCACTGGTCGTGTCTCGTATCGTCCCACCAGAGTATGAGAGTGACAGGAATAGAGAGTGCACTTGTGTCTGCGCGTACACTTGTGTACTATAATATCTCCTGCGCAGTTGGCTAGTTTCAATGAGATTGGCCGCCGCGCCGTGCCCGGAATCGGTCAGGAGAACATCATATTATAATATACTTTCTCTGCGAATGGGAAATTTTCCCAATGTAAAAAACATGTCACACTCCAGTCGGGCCGTCCAAACATCGCCATACAAAAATCTCACAGACAAGCAAACAAAATTTAGCATTTATTCTTTTATTCATACGAATTATTAATTTAAATGAATTTTATTTTTTAGTAAAAGATCGAGTACTATCATGGTTTAACCCGAAAAAGTTCGACCCTCGAAAACTCCGAGGGGTGCTGATAGGTGTGACGGTAATAACTACGCTAGGAGAGATCTGTACATACAAATTGATAAAACAGGACATAAAAAGTGGCGAAATTCCTTTTTATACACCAGGTTTGTAAAATATATTTCCTAAGTGTACACTTAATCATGGTACATTTCTCTTATGCTTTGCCAGTCACAGTTAAGTTCTCTATCACCTAAAAAGTCTCTAAAAACGGTATAGTCTTTTCGAAGATTATCCCAGACAAATAAATATAGTATAAATGATTGATGATAAATGTTTTTTTAGCATTGGGAACTAAATCTTTATATCTAAGAAGTTTCATAAAGGCGAAAGAATAAGCCGGTGCTGTGCAAATCCAGATCTATCTGAAGAAAAATTGTAGAAAGTGCCATTTCTTATATTTGAACTTTATTTTCAGATGTAATGATTCTAGCGTTGTCGATATTCGAAGCTCTTGTGGCTCCGATAGTTTCATGGTGGGGCTACGGGAAACGGCGGACGATGCTCCTTGCATACTCATCCGTGGTTACGGTGTGTTGCATCTTGTGGTTCTTCATCCCAAATGTAGAAGAACGATCTATATCTGGTAAGTGTAAAAAATAAACTTAACTAGTAAACATTAGAAATAAAAAAAAATTAATAAAAAAATAAAAACCGACTTCAAAAAAACACTAAAAAGTAATAAATAACTAAAAAGTAAAAATATAGCTGGCACCGACTTCGAATATATCTGATTAGGTATCTGTTCTAATTGAAAACCCCCCGTTTAGTTATTTTTTCATTTTAGTGCCTGGAAGTCAGTTTTTTTTAAGTTTTTATTTTTCCATTTTTAGTGTAAACGTAATAAGCAGGTAATTTGTAAGAAGAAAGTTTTTTAATAACATATTCGATTAAACAATTTATTAAAAAAAATATGTATTGTTGATTTTTTTGAAAACCGCTCGACCGATTTCGATAAAATTTACATGGGACCACCTTTTTTTTTTTTTTTTTTAACGTTGGGAAATGCATTTACGCACGACGTGTGGGACTCACCGGCGTAATACAGCCAGTACTACCCACTAAAACCCAACAAAACCTTCCCCCGTCTTAATGGGGCGTCGCAGGATCGCTTACGCATTCAACTACGACGCCCCGACGGCAGGTCTGCCGAAGCAGACCACCACAACCATGGGGTTGCTCCACAGTCCACTCTGCTATCAGAGAAGTACCAGGAGTAACCCGCATGGTACACCGCCCCCCGAAGAGGGCACCTCCCACCACCCACCGAAGTGGGCAACCTCCCTGTGCGTTTCTTAGCTTCGCTACTACTACTGAGCCCCCCCACCACGACAAGGTGAACGCACGTTGGGGGGGACATGGGACCACCTGGGAAGTATAACCTTGAAACAAAAAAAATCCAAATCGGTTCAGGCGTCTTTGAGTAATCGGTGAACATACATTAAAAAAAGATTCCGACGAATTGAGAACCTCCTCCTTTATGGAATTGGAAGTCGGTTAATAAAATAAACATTAATATCGGAAACACCCTATATGTGAATCTCCTCCCTTTTTGATTTTGATTAGGTATCTTTTTTATGTGTTATGTAATTAGAAGTAATATACAGATTTGAAATTTTTATTCATCATCAGTCGAGAACGACTTGATCGATTTCAATGAGCCTTCGCTTAATGGATAGATAATAAGTCAAAACATGAAATGAAAAATGGATTCTTATACAACTTTAACTCCTTGTTCGATATGATACCCATACACGATACATACCCCAGACGTTTATACAGATTAGTGTTGTGGACTGTGTATGGGTGATGATGTCATGATGATGATATAAAAATAAATAGGTGTGTTGGCAGAGCAATCAATCATTTGTTGAGTTTTTTATTACACAAGATTACTGTAAAAAACAACTCTTAAATACCAATACATAGGAGTGATTTGACGATAGCTAAGTGATATCTTTATACTTTTATCGGTCTTGTTAATGTAACACTATCTCATAAAATTATCAATTTTTTACGAAATCTATATTGTACTTCCGCTAATATATTTTGCTGTAGATAAAGATTGAAAAAGTACTTTAAGATATCTATGTGTCAGGCACCACAATCATAGAATACTTGGCAACAAAACTCAACAACGCGGCGACTTTTTATCTAACAATTATGTTTTTACATATGCAAAATGTAAAAAATAATACTTTTTTTTCATTCTTTAGGAAAACCTGTATAGGTTTTATATATGTATAGGGCTAGAAGATATTATTTTATATAATTTGATTAAATCTATACATATAATAAAACATACTACGGACCAAATGCAAGTCTAACTACGGAAAACGAGTCCAATTTACATATGTTACATACATATATCTATACATATAATAAAATTCTAACTGAGTCAAATCTGTACATTAAATATTTTTTAGAAAATCTTATTGAAATAAATATTATTATCGATAGTCGCCGAACCTATAGTTTTAAGAATTTTGGTCTGTCTGTGACCGCATCACAGAAAAATTACTGAAGGGATTTTAAAGAAATTTGGTATGGTAATAGCTGGTTATCCGGGTCAACTAATATACTAATACGTTATACGAGTATACTAATATGTAAAACCTAAGAATTTGGTTTTGGTCATATGACCGCGGGCGGAGCCGCGGGCAATGCTAATTATTAATAAAATTGTAACTGAGTTGAATCTGTACATTAAATATTTTTTCTATCTGTCTAATACATTGGTGTAATCAGTTTATAAAAATTTAGTCAATAAAGTGTACTTCTTCAAAGATAATTGAAAAAAATGTAGCTTATAAAGTGAAAATTATCGATTTCTCCAATTTTTCAAATTTTTAAGGGTGTTTAAACAAGGCGACCATACAATGTTTTTATATTTTCAAAGTAGAGTTCAAGACAAAAAGAATGAGCCCTATCTAAAAAATGAACGATTTTTTTTTTAAATGTAAACGCCTACTTGAAATTGGGGATGATTTTCAGCCTCTCCAGACCATAAAACATAACTTTTCTTGGAAATGGCTGAACATTTCAATTTCATTTTTTAAATTTATTATATGTATTTTAAAGATTAAATTCCCTTAGTTTCATGGAAATTAAAAGATTATTCTAGAAATTAAAAATAAAAAACCAAGAAACAGTTAAAAACCGAGTTTTTTGCAAATATCTCGAAAACTTTGAGGTTATTGTAAAAAGTGTTATTTATAGTGTTGAAGATTTTTACTAGACCTACAACTTCTGTACAAAACATTTTTCGATAGAACGTAACAGTGAGCCGGAAATCGAAAAAACTATTTTTCAACGCTTTGCGTCCCCCCATTCAAAATTCCGAATTCAAAATATTTTATTTAGCATTAAATTATTACAATTTTTTACTGAACGTCATGAGTCTACTACCAGTTTGGAAAGAAGAAGCCTTAGACCTGAGAAGAACTGGCGAAAGAAACTCCGCGGGACCAATATTAACTTATATTATAAATTATTTATCAGGTTTAGCTGGGCCTGTGGGACATTTTATGAATTTTTATTCCTCATATACCTGCTAACATTTAAAAATCACATATAAAATTTATCCTACTATTTTATTTGTTTACCATATTAACCGTTATATTTTATTATATTTCAAAAATTATTTGGAGAAAAAATATATAATAAAATACTGCTACCACCTAGATGGTGGCAAAATGAAAATTCATAAAGAGAGGTCGAATTCTCTGGGAGCACCAATTTTCAAAGAACGTTTAGGTCCTTTTAAAACTTTACAGGTGTCTACCAAATGACTGAACTGCTTAGACAGGCTATTAGGACTTAACTTTAATAATTATGTATTTTAGAATTATGTGACGCTGCAGATGAAAACAATATTAAATTTGAGGGTATGACCACTCGGTCGATAACCAGATTAGCGATCCTCACGTGCACTAGCGTGTCCTTCATACTCTCTCGCATCGGGTGCTGGTGCCACGGCATTGCGTACAGTGACGAGTATGCTCCCTCAAGGACTAGTATGCATTATGGTATGAATATATTATACTTTATAATTTATACATCTTTTTATAACTGCCTTATTGCCAATGTCCTATTAGGATCTATTTTTGCAGAAAATAAAAATCGAAATATTGCTAACTTGTAAATTAAGTTTCAACAACCATTAGTCGTATTTCAACGGGAGATTCCTTACAAATCAAAATATGGTACATGTTGAAGAAGATTAAATAATTACTGTTCTTAATCACTGTTCCTCGGAGAAGTTAGTAAAAGTAATGAATATTGAAAAATAATTATGAATTTATTCTTATTAAAAGTCGGCCGTACTATATGCCATATTTCTCGAAATGCTTACATTGTCCAAGTTTTAAGTTTTTACTTAATTTGCCTAATATAACATAATTGGTGATTATTTCTTTTATTATCTCCAGGAGCCCTTCTTTTATCTCGAGTAGCGATATTGGTTATTGGTGAAAGGATCATGACAAGCCTTCTGGAGAAGAACTTGTATATACAGACATTGATCTTTGTACTGAGTCTAGCTGTTAATGTGATACAATTACTGTGTATAGTACCCAAAGTAGTGCCTGAAGTAGATGGGGTTCAGAGGACTCCTGTAAGTCAGAAGGACAGGGGTAAGTTGAATTTTCAGCTTTACTTTTGTATATGAAGATATAATTAAATGTTATCATATTTAAAAAATCTCTATGACTGCCTCGGTGGTGTAGTAGCTAGCATGTACGACTGCACACCTGGAGGTCCTGGGTTCAAGTCCCAGGTCGGGCCAAGTTTAGTTATTGTGTCTTTCTGTATAGTAAGCCTCAGTAACAGCCCGGAGTTGGGAAGTTGGGGTTTTTCACCCCCGTGTCTCGGAGAGCACGTAAAGCTGTCGGTCCTTGCGCCTTAACTCTCACTGGTCGTGTCGAGTGGTCGTCCCACCAGAGTATGAGAGTGACAGGAATAGAGAGTGCACTTGTGCACTATAATATCTCCTGCGCAGTTGGCTAATCTCAATGAGATTGGCCGCCGTGACAGGAATGGGTCAGGAGAACATCATTTAAAAAATCAATTTAAACTGAATGATAATTATCGATTTAAAAATTTGCAATTCAGATGACAAATCGTAATAATTTTGGGTTAAGGTGTATGTGGTTCTCTATGGCTTATGAGTAAGCCTCTTCAATTTCTAATGAAAATAGTATTTTATTTTGATGAATCGCGAGATGCTCATGAGTGATTTTTCAAAAATAGCGTCTCCTTTTTTTAGGTTTCTTTTTAAGTTTAAGAAGAGTGATGTGTAATTCTGTGGCAATGACACAGATGTTAGCGATGGGGCTTATGGCAGCCGCGCTATGGGGGTTTGTGTACAATGAAAGTGAAATTAGTAAGGTATGGCATATTAAATAGATTTTTTATGTGAATGTTTGTGCGTACTATGTATTATTGCCATATTTCTAGATAACTAAATATAAAATCTATCTATGGTGCGGAAAATATGGGGTGGCAGCTTCTAGAACTGATAACACTTTGATTACAATTTCCTCAAGTTATAAAAATTTAACTGGATAATACACCTAAGGTGACCAATCCATATGTCTATATTTATCTCAGGCAAAAATAATAAGGTATTGAGCTACAATTATTATAATCAGTGATAAAATGAAAGAGCAGGTATTATATTATTTCCATGCAGACGATACTGTAAAATCCAAGAAGCTACTCAACCTTGCTTTATTTATGTTGCACTAATCTTCATCCTCTGTCTAATTATTTCAATAATAAGGTCTCTTGTAGTTTTATACTTTTTGTAATAGGACTAAAGTTGCACATCACATATTTCTTGGGTAAGATGCTTAGAATGAAATTAATAATATTATGATTCTTTTGTTTTATCTCAAAATCTGTTATATCTCTCAGTAAGTTCTTACTTAAAAATGACTGTTCTAATTTTAATGACAACTCAAAAATGACATGGGTCGGAATTCAAGACACAACTATAAAAAAGGTTCTACGTAGCACTTATAAATTGGGAAGAATCCCCCGTGAAACTACAATATATCATGTAATCAGTAAAGTCATCATAACTGAATTTCAGTCATATCGGCCAATTTCACTGTTATACTTTATGAGATGGCTTCGCCGACGTAGAGGACCATCAGACGTAGGACCATGGCTCTAATTGCTTTGTCTTGGCATGGTGGTCAAGCGAAGCTTATCTCTCACTTACTGCAATTGACATTTTCTTGTTAGAAACCCCAATAAATATTTTAGCCAAGCTAGGAATCGAACATACGACCTTTATTTGCAGCTTTTTAAGCTAACCACTAGACCAATGAAACAGTACAGTAAAGTCGAAGTTGAACGAGAACGAAGCTACAAGCGGAAATTATTCGGTCTAACAAATTATTATTACAAGACTTATGCCCGATTTCACCAACAACCCATAAGCTACCACCTACGTATGGGATCCCTAGCTTAAAAGTCCCCTAAACTAGCCCCTAAATTAAATTTCGTTTTACGATCGTCTTCAAGCCCATATTTCGAGCACCTAAAGTTAGGGGGGCCTTTTAATATTTAGGTGACCCCTAACTATCGGTGAAACAGAAACTGTCTCCTAACAACCCCCTAACCATGCTTAGGGGATCCCTTAAACATAGGTGATGTTGGTGAAATCGGGAATGAGTTAATTTAATTTTCATATTCTATTACAGGTGAAGTTCAATTTGGTTCGGGAAGACAATGTACTTATAAATTATACAGAGCTTATAATGTATCATTTCTTAGTTGTGATTGTGGGGGTAAGTTTTAGCACAGATTACGTATATAAATACACATTACTCTCTCAACAGCTTACTCTCGCTTCGCTCGGGTGCGCGGTTGCCTAAGTGTGGCCCTAGAGATTAATGTTGTAGGAACGCATAGAGGACAAACATCATTAGGTAGTTAATATAATAATACTGTGTACAATTTGCTATGCAATGGTTACGTTTTATGAGACGTGCCGGTTTCTCTACTATGCTTCCCTTCACCGAAAAGCGAGTGGCAATCGCGAGAGGCGAGAGGTTTTACCTTTTTTTTTAAGAGAACTTGCTACTATCCTATAGTATCAGATATTAAATTGAAATAAAAACGGTTTGTACATGACATGTGTTATCTTCGATTTTGAAATTTCTTCTTGAGGGACATTCCACCCATACGAGTGGAATATTTACTATTGTTTTGAAGTTTGTAGTTAAAAAGATCCGTGTGCCTAATCGTCCAAAAGTCGGATGAATAATTTTTTTTTATTATTATTCGTCCGACTATTGTTGGTGTGTGATATATAATTGTGACTGCGACAATTTTAATGTTTCTATAAAAAAACTTACTTATCAAACTATATCAATTTTTAAGAAACTTTAACTATCGATAGATAGTTAAAATTTTAAGTTTCAAATAAGATCGAATAGACTTAAATTATAAATCTTCGCTCGATAGATTGGAATTTCAGATTACTGAATTTTCTCCTCATAACATCAATTTTTAGCTGCATAGGTTAGGGGGATTTTCTTTTTTTTACAAATAAACATTCTTGAACTTAAAAATCGTTGGGATCTAAAAGAATAAATTTTCATTTCGGTAGGTTAAGGTTTTTATTTTTGCATATAGAAACTCTTGCATATAAACACTTATCTTACATTAGAAAACAAAAAAGTGGAAGATAGTTATTCGGACGAATAATAATATATTTTCATTCGATTATCGGACGAATAGCAATAGCCTAAAAAGTTAATTATTTTTTAGTACGCAGGAGTTAAATTCTCAGCTCCAGTTCTTATGGAGTTTTGCAATTTAAAAGCGATGAAGCAGACGATATTGATGAGCGTGCTCGCGTGTATCGTGTTCGTGGCGCTGACGGTTATACCGCGCTGTGACCACGGGGAGGTGGCGGGGCTCAGCGAGACGGTTTATGAACACCCGGAGTGTAGTTTGTCTTGCAAGTTAGTTGTGTATTAGTAGATTATTATCAGTGTAAATTGCATTATTATTTGAAACTAGGGACTTACCATCGGGTCTGTCCCTAACTTCAGGTATGTGGATTTTGTTTACCTACCATAGTTATTCCTTATAACATCAGGTATCTGCCAGCGGCGAAAGTATCGTCAAAATCAGTCCAGCCGTTTTGGAGATTAGCCGGAATAAACAGAGAGACAAAATGATAAGAATTTGTATTTTTAGGTACCTATATACATACTTTCATAAGTACCATATATTATATACTTTCATATGAATTTAGTAAAAAGCTGTTATTTTGACATTACAAACAGACACTTCAATTTTATTTATTTGTATGTACATATGTATAGTAGATTTTAATATCAAAATCTCGTTGAATCTAGATTTTTTCTAAACATACTTACTGTATACTCTACTCTCGTGTCTCACCCGAAAAATATGATTCAATTTTTTGTCACCATTATCAATAACTTAATTATTGAACTTCTAAAAATTCCCCTTTTTAGCAGTTCCCAGGAATCAGCTGTCACAAGTGCTTTATGTATAGACGTTGATGAATCAATCAGACAACATTTTTTTATATAATATTATGGCAGGCAGAAATCAATTTATCATATAAAAGGCAAAAAAACTTAGTAGAGAATTGAAAATAAGTGCATAAAAATTTACTGAAAAGTGTGAATAATAGATTTAACTGATTATAATAATAGTTAAATAATAACTTACAGCTGTCTCCCCCGTTGGAATGAGTTTCAACCGGTGTGTGTGGTGGACGAGATGGTGACGTACGTGTCCCCGTGCCAGGCTGGTTGTAGAAGCACGGAAACCAATAATGGCTTCTTGTAAGTATCTAAGATAATGTTATTTTTATCGAAAATTTCACCGACTGTTTATGTCTATGAGAAAGATTGTAAAAGGCAGTGTTAGCCCAGTAGTATTGCACTCGCTTGGGAAACTAACTGAAGTAAGTGGATTCAAGTCCCGGGTCTCGCACCTCTGACATTTTCATGTGCGAATCATTTCCAACATGATTATCACTTGTCTTATGGTGAAGGAAAACATCGTGAGGAAACCTGCATGACTAAGAGAAACTAGCAAGCTTTCGAAAGATATGGGAAGTCCGCCAATCCGCACTTAGCCAGCGTGCTGGACTGTGGCCTGATCCCCCTCGTATGGATATAAAGGGAGGCCCATGCCTAGCAGTGGGACGATAAAAAAGGTTGAATACGAATATATAATCGCAATTAGTTTTACTATAAAGCACCTGTTGGTTACAGCGTGTACTCAAACTGCACGTGCGCTGCCGGCGGCCGCGCGCTTATCGGCGCCTGCAGCAACGTCCGCTGCACTCAGTCGTATCATCTTCATGGAATGTTGTTGTATGCTGTAGTTACTTTCACAGGTAAGTTTATTTTTCATTTTTTTTTCATAAGGACTGTAGTGTAGAGAACGTTTGAAATGTAAAGTGTTTGTACCCAATGATGATGACTGCAACGACGATGATATGTTATAAATTTCTCTCCTATCAATTAATTATTGCAAAGGATGGTCGTCTGAAAAAATATAAGCAAATTAGAATAAATCTATACTAATATTATAAAGAGGTAAAGTTTGTGATCTTGTGAGTTTGTGAGTTTGTGAGTTTGTGAGTTTGTGACGTTGTAGGGGGTAATCTCTGGATCTACTGAACCGATTTTCAAAATTCTTTTACCAATAGAAAGCCACGTTCTTTCTGAGTGTCATAGGCTATATATTAACCCGAAAAATGAAAAGGCTTTTTCGTAGTAGTCGGATTTGCAAAGTAAGTCGGAGAAAAAACGGTCGAACGAAAACGTTTCTTACGAACGCTGCCTTAACGATGAGAGATATATGATTATGTTCTAGAGAAAAGTTGTAGAGCTTAATAATGCCTACAAAAAAGTCAGCGACAGCATATGTCTAACTTTTATATTTAAGTCACAAAAAGTAGTTTTTTATATTAAAAAAATCATTTAAATCGGTAGGTCATGTTTATTGGTCATATTATCAACAATTATGAATTCTTATCAAAATAAGTAAATTTATCGTCTAAAATGTTTAAAATAAAAGACTTTTCCCTTTTACTGCATATAATTTGGACAAATGGTTAAAGAGATAATACAACATATTCGTAGGTATGGACGAACCCGAGCGAGCTGTTTGTCTGTTTTTCTCTTTGTACGGGCTAATCTCCGGATCTATTGGACCTATTTAAATGAAATTTTGCATGGTGGTACCTTATATCCCCGGGCAACATCTTAGATACTTTTCATCCCGGAAAATTAAAGAGTTCCCGTGGGATAGTTAAAAGACTATAACAACTTATACAGCTTAGTACACAAAAACTACTGATTGGATTTTAATGAAACTTTACAATAATATAGTTCATACATGACAAAAACAAATCAGTTACTTTTCATCCCGGAAAATTAAAGAGTTTCCATGGGATAGTCATAAAACTATAGTAACTTATACAGCTTAGTACACAAAAACCACTGATTGGATTTTTAAGGAAACTTTACAATAATATAGTTCATACATCAGAATAACAAATAGGTAACTGTGTATCCTGGAAAAATGTACTTTTCCCGTGGGATAGATATTTTTGTTTATTTGTAACGTATTATGTACACAACATAGACCTCAAAACAATAGTTATTAAAAAAATTGCCTGTATGTCTGTTTTTGTGTGTGCGTTTCACGCGAAAAGTAATGTACCAATTTCAACGAAATTTGGCGAAGTGATAACTTATTACTCGAGTCAACATTTAGGGTACCTTTTGTATGTATGGATGTATGTATGTATGTTGTATTCAGCCCTTTTTAACACATGCACGAGCCTCCCTTCAGTACGAGGTGAATCAGGCCATAGTCCACCACGCTGGCCAAGTGCAGGTTGGTGGACTTCACATGTCTTTCGACCACCGTTAAGACAAGTGGTAACTGTGTTAGAAATGATTCGCACATGAAAATATCAGAGGTGCGAGACCCGGGATTTGAACTTGCTTCACTCGGTTTCCCAAGCGAGCACGTTACCACTGGGATAACACTGCCAAGATACCTTTTACTTAAAGGAAATCTTTCTTTCCCATGGGAAAATACAATAACTGGTTTTATCGAGTCCTCCCTAGAAACCTTCCTCTGGCTAAGCCTTAAGACATACATCAAAACAATATACTAAAAAATTGTAGGTCTTGAAAAGTCCTACAGAAAAGTTGTGAATAGTATATGTCTATCTCCTAAGTTACACTCGCAATATTTATTCTTATCTATACCTATAATAAAACTTAGTCAAATCGATGTGCGCGTTTCACGCAAAAAGTACTCAACCGATTTTAACTTAATTTTGTATAATGATAAAACTTATTGCTCGGGTCAACATTAGAATAATTTTTACGACAGGCAAATTATTCATTCCCACGGGAAAATACAATGACTGGTTCTATCGAATTGTCCTTAGAAATTTATATGGCTAACGTTGGCTCAACCTTAAGAGATAGATCAAAACATTGTACAAGAAAATTGTAAGTCTTAAAAAGGTCTATAGAAAAGTTCTACATAGTAGGTATATGTCTATCTCCTAAGGTACACTCGCTATAACTATTTTCATTATTATATATTTCTGTTTTATTATACGTCGTTTATTCTATCTAAATATAGGTACATATATGAATAATAAAACTGTAGAGGTCGAATGTCTGTACATAGATGGTAGAAAAAATTGCTAAAAAACGAGTCAGTTCTCTTCTTAAATCACGTAAGGAGAGAAATAGAACAAATCCAGATTTTTTCAAATTTTTTGTTTCTCTGTCTGTTTGTCTGTTCGTACGGGCTAATCTCCGATACTATTGAACCTATTTAAATGAAATTTGATACTTTTCATTCCGGAAAATTAAAGAGTTCCCGTGGGATAGTTAAAAAATTATAGTAACTTATACAGCTCAGTACACAACAACTTATGCACCTAATTTAGTAAAATTTGGCATGCTGATACCTTTTATTGCAGGTCAAACAACAGGTTACTCATTTTATTTTATTTATTTTATTTTTATCCCGGAAAAATGAACGGTTCCCGTGGAAAAGATCTGTTTGTGCTTTTCTAGAGGTGAACCCGAGCGAAGCGAGGGTGAGCCGCTAGTACTTGTATAAGTACATAAAAAGAAAATAAAAAAAAAAGTAGAAGTTACTTATATTAGAAACATAAATACCTATATTATACCGCATAAAGCATTGAGGGCTGCCGCTTGAAATCGCCGCGAGAGGGCGCTAGTTTAGAGTGATGTCTCTACAAATATCAAATGACACTGAATATTAACTGTTTTCGACCTTTTTGCCATTGAACATTGTGCCATTTCTGATTAATTAAGGCAGACACAGCCATGCCCTACTGGCTCAATAAATATTATTGCCTTAAAAGAAGAAGTAGGAAAAAATCTATATTTTAACTGTTTGATAATTATATATAAATTATTTAAAAAAATGATGAAGTGGCCACAAATATAATTATTATATTAAATTTATGGCCCTTCAGCGCCAACAAATACTTTTTTAATGGCACCAATAGGATCTTACTCGACAGTGGCGCCAACTGGTGGGCACAAAAACGGTAGCCCTCATTGTATAGCACTTGAATTCTAATTAAAATCGTCAGCTAGTATGTACTCGGCAATGTCATTACCGTGTTCGTTTGTACCTAATACCTACACTATCTTTGGCACTCTTACTGAAGAATCTCGTAAGAATTATAGTTAGTTATTTTTAATATATCATTTAATTTCCTTTTTTTATTTCTAGTGCTAGTTTTCCAAGCTCAAGGGGTCTTGCTCCTCCGCATTGTGGACCAGCGGGACAAGTCCGTAGTGATGGGGCTAGCGTGGTCGATGGTCGCCTTCATTTGTTTTGTCTGTGGACACTTAAGTTTTCTCGGAATAGGATGTAAGTTGTTTGCTAAAGTTTTATTCATAAATTTGCTATTATTTAAAAAAAAAGCTGTACAATATATGTGTGTTTATTTAATATATTGTAAAAAATTGGTTGATGGTTTCTTTTTTCATATCTAAGAAATAAGTAAATAAGTTATTAGTATCAATTTTGTATCACAAGTATTTGAAGGTTTGATACATCGATAGTATATATAATGATAAAACTAAAACGTTAATTGAATCAAAAATATTTCTTATTATTAGTATTTTAAATTTGCAGCATAAATATATAAGATTCGGGAAAGTACTAAACATTTTTTTTTCATTTTGTGACAGTGGCAACCTGCAATTGGTTTGAAGTAGAGAAGTGTCACTTACAAAACCCTCTCTACCCTACATTCGTCGGTGGGACGTGTTCCTTGTTAGCCTTATTGTCTATTATCATTAGCATCGGTTCTTACGTCTGTCTTCGAGTGTCGAATAAAGTTAGAGTGGACCAAAATGCACAATTATAATTTTTAAGAATTAATGTTAGAGAAAATGTTATTATTTATAAAAAATACAGAAATACTATTATTAATATTAGAAAGAATAACGAAGTTATGGAAGTTTCTATTGGGCTAAAAATTAAAAGATAAAACCTTAGAGTAACTCTAAGGATAGAACATATTTGGCTTTAAGTGAGAAATAGATTCTATAAAAATTTTAAAGTGGGGGTTAACTACAAAAGATTTGTTTTTACTCTTTCGTGTGGTTAATGATATTTTAAATTGTATTTATATTGTAAATGACTTTATATGTATTTATGTTCTGAAATAAGAACTTATATATATACGATTACGATAAAACGATTAAATAGATTTGAATAACAAAACATTATCCTATTTGTTTTTGAGTTCTGTAACCTTTTTTGTCCAGCGCAGCGGAATAATGCTATAATTTTGAATTCCTTCGCGTGTTAAATGCTGTCTTATTATGTGTAAGTTTAATGTAAATATTTATCTGTAAATATAATAAATATTTCGAAAGCAACATTTTATCCTTTCATTTTTTAGTTATTATCAACTTAAGATTCTTGTTTCAGAATTACACACACAAATTATTTTAATAAGCGTAATGGTACTAAAACTACATAGTTTCGTGAAATTAGCTTTACATGCTTTATTCTAGTTTCGTAATGTTTTGGCTTGAATTTAAGTAGGTTAATGCATAAACTGAACTTGAATAGATAATAATATAATTAGGCCGCTTGTTTTTAATATTATTACATTAATGAGCAACATATTACATATTAAAAGGGATAATTGGTATCCTTTTCAGCTGTCCCAAACTTTTCTATCCTGTCTATGACATTCTTCCTTCTAAAGTCCCCGTGTCCTATTAATGTTAATTGTTTATTAATGTTTGTGCTTAGTTCATTACATAGATTTCTGTGTACGTTATATTAAATGTAATAAAATTAAATTGTAGTCATATTATTAGATTTTTAGTATTAACAATTTTTTTCTCATTGTTTATATATATATTTTATTATCTGTTGTAGGTTCTAATTTTACAACGAAACACTCAGTTTCTACATGTAATCAGATGTTAAGTATGTGATTTTTTTTCTCTTTTATCCGTCATTCTAAATATACTCGCCTTCTCCATTCTAACTCTGTTTTCCAATTAGAGCACTAAAGCGCATTATGCGGCGTAATGCTCAATAACAGAAAATATGAGAAGTGTTTTTTCTTCAAGGTGGCATTGATCATAATTTTATTTACATTATTGTTAGTAAATTTTTTTATATTTTATTTAAATAATTATAATATATTAATTAGTTATATATTATTATATATAACTAATGCGTAAAATGAACCTGGTATGTTTGACATTACATATTTTGATTTTTGAGTTCCTTTACAATATTTTATCATCTTTCAGTTTTAACATCTTTTGATAAACTTTGACATCGACATTTAGTGATGACTGATGAGAACCTTTTAGGTACGACATATTATGTCAAAATTACATAAACACTGCGTTTATATTTTAATGTTAATCGGTTTTTATTTAATTTACGCGGTTTTATAGTGTACTGTAGTGTACAATGGCTGATAATGAACCAAGGACAAAGGTAATACTTATCTATTACAAACGCTTGAACTTTATAAACAGCTATCGCTATACCCGGTACTATAGATATTATTTATTTTCTTGACCTTGTGTGTTATAGAGGTCATTGAATTTAGATAGGCTTGGAGACCCTAAGATTAAATTAATAAATGCTTAAGTAATAAGTATATCTACATATGTATAACAGAATAAGAACTTCATGCGTTACACTTTGTATATACTAGAACTACCTATAATATACTAATTTTGCAGATAGTTACCCACATTATGAATCAATGCCATTCAATAAATAAATAGCAAACAGCTTTTAAAAATATTAATTACATATTTATAGAATATAGAATATATCTTTATTGATACAATTCTTTTTTTTTACATAAGCCTGTTGAAGCCTCTGACTCCCAAACTAGAATAAACCTGTATGTTATAACTGACTTCTAGCTATTGTTCTGTTAATTTGGAATTAAAGTTCCATCTTTGTATAGACATATAACATATTTTAAAAATAATATGAAATTTGAAAAATTATTTAGGACTGTTAGTTTTATGTGAATTAAAAAATTATTAGTCTAAATTGGTAAAAGATAAAAAATGATTATAAATTACAGGCCGATGACAACAGGCTGAAACCTGCGGTAAGAAGGATTGAAAAAAATCATGATAATTTTTTGTAATTAACAGGTTTAGGATTTAAATTTTATTTTCATAAGTCAACACGACTTTGTTCAAATAGATATAACATATGCATGAGTTCAATTATTTGTATCATTAGAAAAATTGTTGCATGGTTATTTGTTGCAATATACATATTTGGTGACAGTATTATGCCATATTCATTATCGCATTTTTAGTACATCTTAGGCAATTCTTTTGATTTTCAGCTAAATATTTTTAGTTCACTGTAAGAATTTTTAACTTTGCTGTTTTTGTTATACTTAATATAGTCTTAGAAGATATATAGAAAATTTTGCTTGTTGATTAGCTCAAATATCGGTATTTTTAATTTATTTATTACATATTTAGTTTAAGACCAAGTAATCGAGAGAACGCTTGTATTTGTACACATATTTGTTCAGGAGACATTATTTATTATTATTACTCTTTTTTGTTGACCAATGTCAAAAAGATTAGTTGGTTTTTGTCTATATTTATGTGATATCTTTGCAAATTGTTAATTGTTTTTCAATTCGTATTTGATGAATACCTCAAGAATGGTACCAGATGTATACCAAAAACAAAAAAAAATACACCCATAAGGGTCTTATAATTTGAATTTCTTCTATTCTATTTTCTTATTATTCACCACAGCTTGTTAATAATAAATTTAATTAGGTAAGATGTGGTATTTTTAGTTATTAAAAAATTGACAAAGTAATGATAGCTATTTTTTAATAACTGTAAAAGTATTGATTAAATTGGATAATAATTGTTTGAAAAGTATAGAAGGACTGTAAAAATCCAAAGGGCTGAAAAAGTAATAGGTATATGAGAAAGTCGTAACTTATAGCCGTCCTAACTTTACTACCGACTTCCAAAAAGGAGGAGGTTCTCAATTCGTCGGGTTTTTTTTATGTATGTTCACTGAACCGATTTGTCAAATATTTTTTTTGTTTTAAAGGGTATACTTCTCAGGTGGTCCCATATAAATTTTATCGAAATCGGTCAAGTGATTTAAAAAAAATCAACAATAAATTATTTTTTTAAATAAATTGCATAATCAAATAAGTATGTTATTAAATACTTTCTTCTTATAAATTACCTGCTTATTACATAGATATATTTTAAGATATGAATATCTAATAGGTAAATATGATTAGGTATAAACTCTAATTATAGTTAAAATATTATACATCAATTTGTGATGTATTTTACGTATTGAAATATATTAGACTAGCGACTCACCATCGCTTCGCTCGGGTTCGTCCCTAGGTTGATTCTCCATACAAACTTTCATCCTCATTTTCACCCCCTTAACGGTTGATTTTCGGGATAAAAGTATTCTATATTCTTCCCAGGGTCACAAACTATCTTCTTACCAAATTTCATCTAAATCGATTCAGTAGATCCAGAGATTACCCCCTACAACGTCACAAACTCACAATTCACAAACTCACAAACTTTACCTCTTTATAATATTAGTATAGATTTGCTTTGCATCGGCTGGCACCGACTTCGAAAATATCTGATTAGGTATCTATTCTAAATGAAAACCCCCGTTTAGTTATTTTTTTTACATTTAAGTGCCTGGAAGTCGGTTTTTATGTCTCCTATGTTTGTTCAAAATAATAATTTCAAAAATACAACCCGAATGTGTAATTACCGTGCCCGTGCCTCGGTAGTGTGACTTAAAAAGGGTTAATAAATAATAAGTTTTCGTTAACTGTTAAGAGTACTCATATTGTGATATAATCTATTCTTAGATAGGTATACTACGTGCGATGACTATCTTAACTTCGTCATTTCATTATCATGCCATTTCAGTTTCAGGCGTATGTATGTACGTTACATAAGCAGTTTTATTATGATAGCTCTCGAAAGTTCTGAAATACTTGCCAAAGAACAATGATAGCGTTTTAAGTAAGGAAAAAGGTAATTTTCTGTACAAATTATTAAAAAAAAATTCTCATATTATCACTCAACACAATTAGGCACAAGTTTAGTATATGGGACGCGGCCCCTGGCGGAGTGGGCGGTATTTTTGGATAGGGTAGGTGACAGGGAGCCCAAATATATAAAAAATATTTTAAGGAAATGTAGGAGTAACACGTTATTGAGACTTAAATCTCGTTTGCTAAACACCAATTCTTTGTCCTAAGTGTACATATTTATAGAAACCTCCATAAAAAATTTAATCCGTCCGTATAAGTTTGAACTTTCTGCAATTTCATTATCAAGTATGTATTTTAAAATATCAATAAAATGAAAACACACCACGGACGAACAATAAATATAACGAAGTATATTATAAATTTATGTCACATACATAACTAGCAATTTTATCATTTATCATTTAGTACAATAGCAGTCGCTGACAAATGAACATCTTAATACGGTGACATCCCGCCAAAATTTGACAGTTCGAAGAGTCATAGTGAAGGTTATTTTTTAACCGACTTCATTTTGGTTTTTTAAGACTGGTTTCTTTAGTTATGGATTTATTAGAAAAGGTAATTTTTTGATTTTTTTTTAAATATTTAAGACTATAAGCATCGATGAATAAATATTACGTTTTATGATTGTATCAAATTTATATAAATTTAATATTAAAAATTCAAATAATATGAACCATATTATGTAAGTGATTGAAATTTAGATGAAGGTTTACATAATTTGTGAGTATTTTTTTAGTCTTAATTTAAATAATAATAAATTAACCTTAACAATATTTTTTACTTTCTAATAATGTAAAATAAAAATCATATTTCACCAATGTCAATACATTTCTTTAAAACATGAATAATAGTTTAAACATATGAAAATCGCAGTAAAATATGTGCATAAAAAAGAAAACAAATGTTTACAGTATTTGATTTTATGGTTACACATTTTTTTTCAATATAACTAGCAAATAATTAAATATACACTAGTTATATAATACAACAGCAACAAAGACATTTGAAAGGTTTTTTTTAACTTATTATTGCCATAATCACCGAATATAACTTAAAGATTCAATGAGAATATACACTCGTGTGTAGAATCCACACAGAATTTGACGACGCCTTTGGCTCAGTTTATTATGACCCTACTTGCCGAGTCAGAGGCGGTTGCGGGTTCGAGTCCCGCTGGGGGCACTCATTTGTGTGACGAGCACGAATGTTTGTACTTCAGTCGTGGGTATTTATATTTATAATATGTATGCATCTTAAGTTATATATGTGTAGTGTATCAACCATCTGGTATCCATAACACAGGTCTTGTAGCTTACCATGCAATGATGAAGCAAAGATGGTGCTGTGTGTTCCAACATATTTATTTATTTATAATCCATGGACGTACCATATGGTGGTATAATCATACTGTATTGTGTGATATGGTTACTAATCTTGCGACTGCATTGTCATAATGAACCTGCATTACGCTGCATATTTTCATATATTTATAATAATTAAGGCTTACTATAATAACTCATGACAATACAAAACGTTATATACATATGTTTGCTGAAGTATAATTATGAATTGGTTCAACAGTAAATTATTGTTTACATACTATAATTGACGAGACCTTGAGCATGAAGAATAACATAACCAAAGTGGTATATGGTGTTAGTTGCGATTAATCTTTCTGTTTTCTATAAATTCGTTGGTAGGAACAATTCGTAGTAGTGATGTGAGTGTTGGTCCAAATTTCTTAATAAGTACTATCTTAATAATACTAGGATAGATATGTTATGGCATTAAGAAGGCAAGTAAAGTCATGATATAAATTCACATAATTTCCCCATACGACAGTCGTGAGTCGTGACGCGTGGTGCAGTGGAGTAAGTTTGAGGTTGAATGGCGTTATTACCCACAAGTAGGTTTAATGCATTTAGTTATTTTTTCCAAGTTTTATTTTAGTAAGACGATACAATTTACAGTGTATATGTAGTTAACAATCACTGTTCTCTTCGCAAATAAAATCTTGCGAAGTGCCTTTGAAAATAATAAATTGATGAGAAAAAATGTTATTACGATATTTTGAATATATAAATATTTCAATATAAAAATGTCGTACGTCATTTACTCATATTTTTTCTAAAAAATTCATGTGAAAAAAAACGTCTTTTTCCGCTTTTTCGGATATATTTCATGTATATAAAGACAAGTTAAGGACATTGATATCGAAGTTAGTTGACTTTATTTAAAAGTTTATTGATAGATAGAATAGACAACTGCGCATTTAAAGATAACAGCATTGTTCATTGCAAGTGTGTAAATATGAAATACAAATTTAGTTCCAATGCTTTCGCAATACAGGTCATTTTGTCTTTATCTATTTATGTATTTATGACGTTTTAATATATTGCAGTGGTCAATTGCTTGAGACGGTGACAATAGTCTAAAATAACTTTAATTTATCTAGATATAAGGTTGTTAATTACTCGCATGTGGGTAAATCAAGACAATCCATGAAGTTTTCTATGATCATGCTTAAATGATATTGCCCTTGTCCAAAATTAATTCTTTTCATCTATTAAGTATACCTACACTAAAATGTATGACCTAACGTTAGCCATTTTCAAAAACAACCTATGAAACTGATCAGGTCATAAACTGTCTATGAAAAAAAAATCCCTCAACTTTTAACACCTCCAGGTAAATTTCTAAGGAATTAATTAAATTTCTAAGAAATCTATTGTTAACTGTAACGCCGGCGTGTCCGCGGTCGTGGAGAGATTAACCTTCAAACGTTCACTTTCCTGACTTTGTTGTGAAGATTTTTAAACCTATGTATTTTCGCATTACATATTTAGTCTATTTGCTTACTGTATTTTTTTGTACTTTTTTCTAATTAACTATAACTATTTGTACTCAATCACAAGGAAAGGAGTGGAGACTGATTTTTTTGTTCGCATATCGAAATCACATTGGGGGGGAAACTCCATTTTAGCTCACAACTGCTTGCAATGCATGGGTTCTATAGGCAAGTG